CCGGTGGTCCACGAGGGCCTGGAGAACAATCGAGCAGTACCCCTTCCTGTTTGTGAAATGGGCTGCTCGATGCTCTAGGGCCCGGACGGGGATGTGGGTTGCATCCAGGGCTCCCCCGCAGTTGGGGAACCCAAGGGCAGCGAAGCTGGCCAGCGTAGCGTCCATGTCGCGCAGGCGGATCACTCTCGGTAGCAGGACATCATTGATGGCGTGGACGACCTGCAGAAGGGTGCAGAGAAACACAGGGGAACACATCACACAAGGCAGGGGTGAGTGTGCGCTCCCTTGGGCCCCCCCGTGATTCCCTCTGTCCTCACGCGTGCACACACACGCACACGCACACACACACACACACACACACACACACACCAGGGCCCTCTCGCCCCACGGCCCGCCTCCTCCCCCCCACCAGCATGCCTGTGCAAGGGAGGGATGGCACAAACCCCTGGGTGACCCAGCCTGGAGTCTTGGCTGCCCCTGGGCATGGAGTGCAACACCCTCCCCACACCCCACACTCCCTGGGACTTACCTCCATCACGATGACACCGACGGTGGAACTTCCCACCCCAAATTGCTGTGCCACTGAGCGGTAGCTGTCCGGGGTGGCCAGCTTCCATAGCGCGATGGCGACCCTCTTGTCGATGGGGATAGGTGCATGGGTGGCTCTCTGTAGCGCGGGGGTGAGCCAGGTGCACAGCTCCAGGAACGTCCGCTTTCACATGCGGAAATTCCGGAGCCATTGCAGGTCGCCCCATTGCCCCAGGACCAGCCGGTCCCAACAGTCCGTACTGGTGTCCAATCTCCAGAGTGGCCTCTCCACCCTGGGGTGCTGAGGGTGTGGGAGTTGAAGGCGATCTCTGCCTCCTGGTCCTGAAAGACGAGGGCACCGGCTTGGCGCACCAGCTGCAGGCACTCGAAAATGGCCGACAGGGGCCAGAGCAGGTACATGGCCACCCACGGCTCCATGGCAGACAGAGCAGGGCACAAGAAAGCAAAATCAGGAAAAAGCAGTAGAGGTGGTGTCCCCAAAAGTCGGAGGGCAACCCAAACCTGCTATGGCTGTCAGTCCCTGCAAGAGGTCCTAACGCACAGAGCAGGAGACAAACAGCTGTCCGGTGAGACCCCTTTAAGCATGTGTCTGAACGGAGCTCCAGAAAGGTCTGGTGACCTTTTGCCCTCTTCAAAATGGTTCCGAGCTTCTGCTTTTGCGCAAAAGCGCGCAGCCAATCTAGACGCACTTTTCTGCAAAAGCGCATTGTTATAACGATAACTCCGGGACAAATATAGACACGCTTTTCCGGAAATACTTTTAACGGAAAACCTTTTCCATTAAAAGTATTTCTGGAAAATCATGGCAGTCTAGATGTAGCCTATGGTTAGAAAGGAGGAATAATCTAGTGGCCTAATACTGACCTGGCAGCCACGTTCTCTGGTGCTGTAACCAGAGGTCTGACATGGACCCTAGCTGTGAACTCTAGCCTCTCTTTTCTAGCCCTGAAACTTCCTACTCATCTCTCAAGAATGCTGGTTGGGCTAATGCAAATATAAGTTTTAGTGCACTCTAATGGTCTCCCCCCATGAGAACCAGGGACTGCAATCTGGAAGCTTCTCTCGGTAGTCTGAAGAAAGCCTCGTCTACCTCATCCACCTGATCTGGTGGTCTATAGGAAACACCAACTACAACATCAGCACTTCTGCTTCCACCTCTATATTTAACCCATATACTCTCAACAGGCTTTTCCCACTGCCCCACTGCCCTCTCTTCCAACACTGGGCAACATCAGATGAAGTAGGAATAAGAGATCCTCCGGAAAAGGGCTTTATTCTGGAGGATCGGGCCAGTCTAGATGCTTTTTTCCGGCTTATCTACAAGCCGGAAAAAAGCGGCGGACATCTTTATTTAAATCCCGCCGGGGATATTTAAATCCCCCACGGATTTCCCTATTCCGAAGTTGAAAATTAGCATGCCCCTTCCGAAAAAGGGGCCAGTGTAGACGTAGCCATACTGAGGGATTCCATGTGTCTTGTCCATTGCTGCAGGAATACACGTCTGTTTACTGATTTTTTTTTCTGGCTTGATGAGAGAGATGAGTCTGAGCTGTTTCCTACTGTGAGAGTGAGCACACAGCCAACACATGAAGAAGTTACTCACCCTGTGTAGTAACGATGGTTCTTCGAGATGTGTCCCCGTGGGTGCTCCACTCCAGGTGTCGGGTCCCGTCCCGGCGCCGCTGGTCGGAAAGTTTTCATAGCTGTAGCCGGGCCGGACCGCGCATGCGCAAACGCAGCGCGCAGCGTTCGCGCCTTTGCAACGGTCCGGCCCCCCCTTGTCAGTTCCTCTCACCGCTCGGTCCCTGGAAGACAAAGCAAAGAGACCCGGAGTGGGGAGGAGGGTGGGACGTGGAGCACCCACGGGGACACATCTCGAAGAACCATCGTTACTACACAGGGTGAGTAACTTCTTCTTCTTCTTCAAGTGGTCCCCGTGGGTGCTCCACTCCAGGTGAGTACAAAGCAGTAACCCAGAATGCGCTCCGGGTCAATTATTTTCTACCGTGGACAGTACCGCAGAGGCTACCACGGCGTCTGAAGCCCACCTCTTCGTTATGGCATAATGACATGCGAAAGTAACACTAGAAGCCCAAGTAGCCGCACGGCAGATATCCGCTAGGGGAACTCCCCTTGCAAAGGCAGTGGAAGTCGCTACAGCTCGTGTGGAGTGAGCCCGAGGTAAAGAAGGAAGAGGTTTGTTTCTAATTGAGTGGCATTCCGTAATGCAGAGAGAAAAATCGTAAAGGGAGGGCTTGCCATCAGCGCCCCCAGTTCCCCTACCCGTCTTGCCGATGTAATCGCAAGTAGGAAGACTATTTTCATCGTTAAATAATGTAGCGAAACCGATATCAAGGGTTCGAAAGGTGGGTACATAATGGTATCCAACACTAAATCGAGATTCCAAGACGGGGAGGGTGCGCTTCGTGGCGGATATAAGTTTTGGAGTCCTTTCAAAAACCTCTTTGTAATCACGTGGGAGAAGAGCGCGGAACCTTCTACTGGATGGTGAAAAGCACTGATGGCTGCCATGTGCACTCTTAGAGATGATAGTGTAAGACCTGAGTTCCGTAAATAAAGGATGTAGTCCAAAACATTCTGTAGAGGGGATGATAGGGGGTGCATGTCGTTCTGAGTGCACCAGTCAGAAAATCTTCGCCACTTTGCCAGGTACGTATTCCGCGTAGACTCCTTCCTACTGTGAAGAAGTACTGTCTTGACCTCTTCAGAGCACAGATTTTCGTCTCCTTTCAACCACTGAGAAGCCACGCCGTCAGATGCAACGGCTGCAGCCTGGGGTGTACTAGCGCACCTCGTTCCTGCGTAAGGAGATCTTGATGGAGAGGAAGAGGGTAAGGTGGCTGAATTGACATCCTGTGTAAGAATGGATACCAGGCTTGTCTGGGCCATGCTGGCGCTAGCAAAATGACCGTCGCCGCCTCTAATCTGATTTTCTCCAGTGTCCTGGAGATAAGTGGCGTGGGAGGAAACGCGTACAGAAGTGCCTTCTTCCATCTGATCAGAAGTGCATCGCCTAGAGAGCCTTTGCCGAGTCCTGCTCTTGAGCAATATAGGCGACACTTCCTGTTGCTGTATGTTGCGAATAGATCTACCAGTGGGGTACCCCATCTTCGAAATATCGCAGATAGTATGTCTGTCCTTACTTCCCACTCGTGGTCCGTGGGGAATTGCCTGCTGAGGGAGTCTGCAATTACATTGACGGTGCCAGGTAAGTATGATGCTGTTATGGTTACGCTGTTCTGTATGCACCAGTTCCAACACCGTACTGCTTCGGCGCATAGGGAGCGTGATCGTGCTCCTCCCTGCCTGTTGACATAATACATCGCAGCTACATTGTCCGTCAATATCCTTACTGTGAGACCTTTGATCTGAGGAAGAAAATGTTTGCATGCGTAGAAAATCGCTCGAAGTTCCAACAAATTTATGTGCAGATGCCTCTCACTGAGCGACCATTTGCCCTGGATTCATTCGCTGTCCATGTGGGCCCCCCAGCCTATGAGCGAGGCATCCGATGTTATCTGCACCGTTGGTTGTTGTCGATGGAATGATTTATGTGCAGACGCCTCTCGCTGAGCGACCATTTGCCCTGGATTCGTTCGCTGTCCATGTGGGCCCCCCAGCCTATGAGCGAGGCATCCGATGTTATCTGCACCGTTGGTTGTTGTCGATGGAATGGAACTCCCGGCAGGAGGTTTTGCTCTTTTGTCCACCACTGCAGCGATCTCTGAACATGCGGAGGTAACCACGCTAGTTTTTGAATGTCGTGTCTCACGGGGACATAAACCGTGGACAGCCAATGTTGGAGGCCCCTCAAGTGGAGGCGCGCATGAGGAACTACTGCGGTGGCCGCTGCCATATGTCCCAGGAGACGAAGGCAATTGTGTACCGATACCGTCATGTTGCTGGTGAGTATAGTAACGAGATCCTTGATTGCTTGAAATCTTTCTTGAGGTAGGTAAGCTCTTGCCATGAGCGAATCTAGGTTTATCCCTATAAACTTTATGAATTGAGTTGGGACAAGTGTCGATTTCTGCTTGTTGAGGAGGAGGCCGAGTGATTCGAACGTTTGCTCGACCGTCGCCACCATCTGTGTCGCCTCTCGCTGCGTGGCAGCTTTTATTAAGCAGTCGTCCAGATAGGGATATATTATCACCTGTAACCGACGGAGATGAGCTGCTACGACAGCCAGGGTTTTTGAGAACGCTCTGGGAGCTGAAGCAAGACCGAATGGTAGAACCCGATACTGAAAATGATCGTGGCCTATCACAAATCGCAGAAAACGTCTGTGAGAGGGATGTATTGTGATGTGAAAACACGCATCTTGTAAATCGAGGGCAGCGAACCAATCGTTGATATCGAGGGATGGTATTATAGAATTCAGGGTCACCATTTTGAAATGCTGTTTGCGAAGATAACGATTCAAACCTCTTAAATCGAGAATGGGTCTCCAACCCCCCGTTTTCTTTTCCGTTAGAAAGTATCTGGAATAGAACCCTCTTCCCCTGAACTGATCGGGGACCCTCTCTATTGCTCCGATATCCAGGAGGTGATGAGCTTCCTGTTGCAAGAGATTGTTGTGAGATGGGTCCCTGAAAAGGGACGGGGAAGGTGGGGTGGTGGGGAGGATGGAGACGAAGGGAATGGTGAAACCGTTGTTTATGACTTCCAGAACCCATTTGTCCGATGTTATTTCGACCCATTGGTGATAATAAGGTCGTAAGCGGTGGTGGAAAATGGGTTTTGCCAGAGTGATTGGTAGTGTGCGCTTGCCCTCGACCAGGGAGTCAAACTTGCTGTTTTGAGGCAGGCGTGCCCGTCACTCTAGGTGGTGGACGCCTTCGTTGAGGGCGCTGTCTTGATCGCGATTGGTCGAAAGGGCGATTTTGCTGTCTCCGAGACTGATAATCATACCGCCTTTGGTATGGAAAATAACGCCGGCGGCGGAGTGGTGGTGCGTACATGCCGAGCGTACGAAGTGTTGTTCTCGAGTCTTTCCCAGTATGAAGCACCTCATCTGTCTTTTCTGCAAATAATTTCACCTTATCAAACGGGAGGTCTTCTACTTTGGAGTGCAACTCCTTGGGCACTGCCACCGTGGCGAGCCAGGAAGAGCGCCTCATGGACACTGCTGTTGCTACTCCCCGAGCTGCTGTATCAGCTATATCCAAAGCTATCTGAAGATTGGCCTTTGAACATGCATAGCCCTCCTTGAGGATAGATCGTAGCAGCTCCCTGTCCGCCTCTGATGATCTTTGGGACAGCTCAGTAAGCTTCGCTATACTATCGAAGCTATGATTCGCCAAGAGAGCTGTATAATTCGCTATGCGAAGGAGCAGTGTGGCCGATGTATAAACCTTTCAGCCAAACGCGTCCAATTTCTTTGCCTCCTTATCAGCCCCCACATTTTTCAGCTGTGGGTTCTTAGCCCTTTGGAGAGTTGCGTCAACGACCAAGGAGTTTGGCTGCGGGTGAGTAAAAAGAAATTCTGAGTCTTTAGATGCTATAAAGTAGCGCTTCTCTGCCGGTTTCGAAGTTGGTGGAGTCGAAGCCGGGGTATGCCAAATTTCTGTTGCTGACTGGAGGATAGCCTCGTCCATAGGAAGGGCAACTTTAGATTGTTGCTTAGGGTTTAAGTTTCTCCAGAGCTTAAATTGTTTCGTTGGAGTGTCTGATATCTGAACATCTTGAGACTGGGCCACTCTCCTAAAAAGCTCTTGAAAGTCCTTTGTGTCGTCTGGGGGAGATGGATCCCCTTCAAAAACTGCATCGTCTGGATAAGATGACGACATATCTTTTTGGGATGCAGTCTGCAGTTGATCGTCCGTATCCGATATCTGTCCTTCCTAAGGCTCAGATAGGTGAACTGAAGGCGAGTGGTTCTGCTGCCGAGATGATGCCCCCTTCCAGTCTTGAATTGGAGACAATTGTCGCGCTTCATGAGGAGTATGGCAACAGCAGTGCCGAGAACGAGAGTGAGGTCTTCCATATTCGGAAGATGATCGATTTCCCCTATATTCAGGGTGGTCAGGAGACGACCTTCGCGAGGAGTATCTACTGGCATACCCCCTGTGATAGGATCTCGGGGGGGAGTAGCTTGGTGAGCGGGATCTGTATGACGATTCCCGATGATAATAATGATACCGTTCGCGATGGTCAGAATAACGAGACCTTGATCTCCATCGAGGGGACATTGTTTGGTTCTGAGAAGACGCGAGATGACTGACCCTCGGTGAATGAGAGGGAGAAATTGAAGGCTCCAGTGATGGTGAAATTGAATGTCTCGGTACTGACTTCCTAGCAGCCTTAGTGGGGACTGCAGAGGCAGGAGGAGCTATGAGAGGGAGAAATTGAAGGCTCCAGTGATGGTGAAATTGAATGCCTCGGTACTGACTTCCTAGCAGCCTTAGTCGGGACTGCAGAGGCAGGAGGAGCCTCCCTCCCTTGCACTGATAAAGAAGAATTGGCAGGGGGAGGAATAATTTGGACAGCATCATCATGTTGTCTTGCTGCCCTGCCCGGCACCGTAGGCAGCTGCTCCTCCGGTACGGCTGCGATAGTAATATGATCCGCCGGTGCCGACTCGGCACGGTGGGGGGCGCTCTGCCAGCCCCATTTGCTATGCTCTCCGGTGCCGTCTGTCAAAGCTGTATCCGGTGCCGGACCCGGTGCCAGCTTGTCCTGGCTTCGAGCAGCCGTTTGCGGTGCCGCTCGAGTTTGCGGCTGGGCAGACTGGGCAGGCTGCCCTTGTGGCGGTGCCGACCGCTGTGAGTCAATCGCGCTCTCAGCGGGGCGCAGAGCCGGTGCCGATAACATGCGGCTTGATATTATCGCCTGCGGCTTATGCGACCTCTCTGGTTGTCTTGCCGCCCCGGAGGCACCCGGCTTATGTCCCTGAGCAACTCGGGACAGCGAAGGAGGCGGGAGGGAGCGTGTAGGGGAAGCTCTCTTCTTTTTTGACCCCATTGCCGCTGGGGATTTTGATCTCTTTCCTTGCCCTCCGGGAGACTCTGAGACCTGCTGCTCAGAAGGCTGTAACGCCTTATCGCAGAGAAGCAGCTTCAAACGCATATCCCTTTCTCTGCGTGCCCTGGGAGTCAATTTTGCGCAATGAGTGCATTTTTGTGGCACATGCGCTTCGCCTAAACACCTTACACAGGCTTCATGCCCGTCAGATGCCGGCATGGCTTCCTTGCAATGAACACACCGTTTAAACCCCGGTGACCCAGGCATAATGTTGTCTTTCCTCTTTTTCTTTCTTCTTCTTTTTTTTTTTTTAATCTAACTAACTATTATTATCCAATTCGACTAACTATCTCTTTTTTTGTTTTTTCTTTTTAGGACGGCTCCTGTCTGAGGAGACAAGCGGCGTTCCGCCAGCAACCACGGGCGGCTGAGAGGAACTGACGAGGGGGGGCCGGACCGTTGCAAAGGCGCGAACGCCGTGCGCTACGCACGCGCATGCGCGGTCCGGCCCGGCTACGGCTATGGAAATTTCCGACCAGCGGCGCCGGGACGGGACCCGACCCGACACCTGGAGTGGAGCACCCACGGGGACCACTCGAAGAAGAACCCCTAATTCTTGTGTTATGGGAACAAGTAAATAACATTTCCTTATAACGTCTCAGAGGAGTAGCCATGTTAGTCTGTAACTTTAAAAACAACAAGGTGTCCTATTGCACCTTAGAGACTCACAAAATATATATAGTATCATGAGCCTTCATGGGCAAAACCCACTTCTTCAGAAGAGCTGGAGTGGGGAAAAAATGGGAACCCAGAACATATAACAGAAAAAGGAGAGAAAAAATGCCTGGCAATTTTTCTAATGCCAGTGCTAATGAGACTGAGTGGTCTGGAAGTGTCCCATACTTTGCTTTTGATGTGAATGAGGTATTAAATGTATGTAAGACTGGTTTTACATTTCTGTAAATACTTATAAGTGTTGTAAGCAAGACGCAAGCTGGCTGCGTCTAGACTGGGAAGTTTTTCTGCAAAAGCAGTTGCTTTTGCGGAAAAAACTTGCCAGCTGTCTACACTGGCAGCTTGATTTTGCGTAAAAGCACTGACGTTCTACTGTCTGAAATCAGTGCTTCTTGCGCAAATGCTTTGACGTTCCCGTTCGGGCAAAAGCCCTTTTCCAGAAATGCTTTTGTGCAAAAGAGCCAGTGTAGACAGCTGAAAACTCTTTTGCGCAAAAAAAGCCCCGATGGGGAAAATGTTTTTTTTAATTGTATCCTTTGGTATATATGGTTGTGACAATTTTCTTCCACTGTTTGATCTGAGGAAGTGGGTCTGGCCCACGAAAGCTCATCATCTAATAAACCATCTTGTTAGTCTTTAAAGTGCTACAAAGTCCTGTTTTTTGTTCCTTCTTGCAGAGGAGTGGTGGGGAGGCAACCGCTCCCAAACACCACGCTAGGGGGGTGCTCGGCCGGGGTGAGAGCGAGCGCACGCTGAGCAGGCTCATCTGGCATGGGCAGCGAGTTCTATGGCCGTCCCCCGCCCGGCCCCGGCCCGTCCCTGCCGGTCGGCTCCCCCTTGCCTGCACACGCCAGGGAAGGACCGGGCTGGGGACGGCCATGGAACTCGCCGCCCATGCTAGCGTTCGGTCAGCTCCCCCTTGCCTGCGCACGCTGCGCAGGGTTTGCAGGTGACCGGGGAGACGCCCGGGCGTGACGTGACGTCACGGCCCGGGAATTTAAAAGTGCGGTGCCGGCCTAGCTGTGGTTCGGAGTTTGGGGACTGAGCACAGATTCCGGCCCCGCAAGCGGAAAGCAGAACGTACGTCAGGGTACGGAGGAAACCAGGTGGAAGGGGTGGGAGAGGAAGGAGCTTGGGGGGAGGGGAGGCGCTTGTGTGAGGTGGAAGGGAGAGGGAAGAGACAAATGCCAGGGGCCCAAGTGCAGTCAATGAGGGAAAGGGCAGAAGGGGAGGTGTCAGTGGGAGGCGGACAGGGTGAGGTTGTGAGAGGAGAGGGGCAGGGCTTTGGGGGCTAGAGGAGGGAGAAGGGGAGGTGCTGGGAGAAGGCTTGAAAGAAGGTGAATGTGAGAAAGGTGGGGATGGAGCAAGTTGTGTGTGAGGGCACAGAGGGGCAGGAGGGAATGGGGCAGAGAGTGGTGAGGGAATGGGCATTATCAGGGAGCAATGAGGGAAAGGGCAGAAGGGGAGGTGTCAGTGGGAGGCGGACAGGGTGAGGTTGTGAGAGGAGAGGGGCAGGGCTTTGGGGGCTAGAGGAGGGAGAAGGGGAGGTGCTGGGAGAAGGCTTGAAAGAAGGTGAATGTGAGAAAGGTGGGGATGGAGCAAGTTGTGTGTGAGGGCACAGAGGGGCAGGAGGGAATGGGGCAGAGAGTGGTGAGGGAATGGGCATTATCAGGGAGAAAGGGGGCAGGGGCAGCAAGGGAAGGGGGAGTCACCAAGAGGGTGCAGGGCCAAGAGAAGGTGAAGGTGCTAGGTGATTCTGGGGGTGAAGCAGAAGGGCAGACCCCTGCAGGGGAGGGACTAGCACCAGAGGAGAGAGGCAGGGCAGGTGTGTAGAGGGAGGTGTTAGGATAGGGGATGAGGAGAGGTAACTCACCTAATCAGAGTGGGGCTACTGGAGAAGTGGGCACAGGAGGGAGAGAAGGGCTGCTGGAGGGGGTGAGGTCAGGAAGGCTGAGGGCAGTGAGAAGGGCAGAAGTCAGAATAGCAGAGAAGGGTGAGGAATTTGGGGGGCAGCAGGCACCAGGGGAGATGATGGAACAAGGAGAGGAGACATGGCAGCAGAGAGTAAAGGGAAAGGTTTAAAAATATTTAGTAACTTGGCATGTTGCCCACAGCCAGTTTGTTTGTGACCTGCTGTGTGGTTTGGGTTTATATGGGGATCAACACGTGTCTGGCAAATGGGAGCTAAAACAAAAAAGTAGTCAGTGTAATGATCTTCTTCTGATATGCATTTTAGTAGTTAAATTCTTGGACTGTCATTGCTCATGAAAAGTGCTGTCACATGGGTAGAAATCGGGTAAATATTGCATTTTATTAATATCAGCAGAACTGACTTAAATGGGGCCTGTGTGTTGCATAGTCTTGCTTTAATCTTTGTATTCATGCCTGTCAGTGTGAGAGAAGCTATTTGTATATATTTGCTTGCATATGCAACCACACTTAAGTTGAGGCCCTCAGCATGTTCTGTAAGTATCAGTGTGGCCCCTGGGGCCTCCAAAGTTGAGTTGCCCTAGCTTATCCCTGACAGGTGTCGATCTAACCTGGTCTTTGCAGAATCTCCATCACTGGAGATATTTATCTCCCTAGGCAATTTATTCCAGTCTTTAACCACCGTGACAGGTAGGAAGTTTTTCCCTAATGTCCAAACTAAACTCCCTTGCTATAATTTAAGGCCATTGCTTCTCATCCTAACCTCAGAGGACAAGGAGAACAATTTTTCTTCCTCCTCTTTATGATACTCTTTTAGATACTTGAAAGGTGCTCTCATGTTCCTTTTCGGTCTTCTCTTTTCCAAGGTAAACAAGGCCAATTCCTTCAGCCTTGCCTCATATCTCATGTTCTCTAGAACTTTCATCATTTGTGTTGATCTTCTCTGGACTTTCTCCATGTTTCCTGAAATGTGGCGCCCAGAACTGAACATGATACTCTAGCTGGGACGTGAGACTGGGCGGGTTAACTTCAATCCTCCTGTTTATTCTTTTCCTAAGCCAGGAGTGCACAGTAGTTCGGATGGGGGCTCTGCAGGAAGGCAGCCCGCACTGCCCCCTGCCTGAAACCTTGTGCAGGTGTTAAACAGCTGTCCAGCCCATCCTAGAGGTGACTGCATTTCAGTGTGCCTGAAGCAATACAGCACCAGCAATGGACAGGAGAATGGCTCCTGGGCATGGCTTGCTCATGACGGCTTCAGTCCCATTGGATGGGCCTCAGCCTCTTTTCTTCCCCTCCCCTGCTTTGCAATGGGGCTGTAGACTCTGGGGGGAGAGGGGTGGAGGCAGAGAGGTGTCTGCCTGCAGCAGATGTAGACATGTCTCTGTATTAATCATTCTCTCATTGAGGTTTTTAGCTTTGTAGTGAGTCCTTTTACATGGAAACTTTGTATTCAGTCTTAGTAGTATAGTTCTTAGGACAAGTGAGGCAGAGACTGTCCCTGTGGGGTGAATGAGGTGGGAATGGATAAGGTGAGCACCTCTTTGCAACTGCCCAGGTTGGAGAGGGGATGGAAGCCAGATCCAAGATCAATGAGACCTGGGAAGTGGGCCCATTGAAAGGAGAAATGGACCTGTGGATGCTTTGGGGGTCAGCAGCAAGGGCCTGCTTTGGGAAGCCCCCTCTTTGGAGGTGAATATGGCAGCATTGAGACACCACCCAGAAGCAGGCGCCACAGACACTAACTGCAGATTCATGGGACGGCTCTCTCAGATCTTGCACATGCATAAGATGATAGATCTGGGGGGGGGGGGCAGTGGCGTAGCGAGGGGGCCAGAGGGGTCAGTTGCCCCTGGGCACCACACTAGGGAGGCTCCAACTTAATCCCATTCTGCTCCCCCCGTTATCCCTTCAGCTTGTGCTCCTACTCCGCCTGCCACCTGCAGCTGGAGTCCCTTCCCTGCCTCCCTGCTCTGAGCCCGACCCTCCTCCATCTCCATTGGAGGGTTAGTGCATGCAGGAGCCTGGCCCCAAACTGTGGGGGGTGGGGGAAGATGCAGTAAAGTTCCCTTCAGCTGTGTACCAGGTTCGGGGCCGTGCCACATGGCGGCGAGGGGGCGCAAATTTTTCCTTTGCCTCCGGGCGCATAACATCCTCGCTACGCCTCTGCCTTCTTTCTCACAAATCCATCACATATTGCATTGATACACCCAGGACTGAAGATGCCAGTACAGAATATGCAAGTGTCTACAAAATGACTACAGTGCCAGAGGATGTGATCCAAGAGTATTTAATACAGTAAGTGGTTTTGCTAATACATAGTAAAGTTAATCATATTTTTTTTTAAGTGTTTGGATTAGTGCTATTCTCCTGGGTATTCTTGCTCACATTCTACACATATAAGAGAGCTAAGACCAAGCTAATTCTGGCTTTTTTTTTTAAGCTTTACATTTTGATGACAGAACACACACCATCACATGTGATTACTCAGAGTACCAAGTTGCTCTGTCAGATTTTCAGCTCTGTCTCTCTGACCCTGAGTGGAAGTAGCCCAGCTCAAGCTAGATCTCATGTTTGGAAGCTCTGAGTTTAACACAACCAGAGCCTTAGTGTGTTCTCTCTCTGTCTCTCTCTGTTTCTCTCTCTGTCTCTCGGCCACATGCCTAACTGGATACTAGAATTTCCAGCATTATGCAAAAGTGGGCATCTAGCCACAGTACTCATTCCAGGACAGTTCATGCACAGCTGATGCTGGTGTTGTTCCAATATGCATTTGGGCAGCTGCTGAAGATTTGGTCCATGGCCTTGGTTTCTGTTGCCCTCTGCTTTTAGCCCATGCTTTGGAATGTTACATTTACACTTTGGGCAAAGCTTTGGCATGCAGCTTGCTGGTGTAGGCAGAGCAGACAAATGGAGGCTCCTGGAGCCTCCATTTGTCTGCTGCATGCACCAAGCAACTTGACTGACTCTGGGCATGGGTTTGACAGACCAGACCCTATTTGTGCAGAGCAGTCAGGAAGATAGCCATTGTCCAAAGGCTGCCCATTCTGCCCTGGACTGTTGCTGGTTGGCTGAGGTGCTTCTCCTCTGCCTCCTCGACTTCCTCCTCACCATCTGGGCCCATGAGAGAAAACAGTCTCTGTGACCAGTGTAGGTTTCAGATAAGTTGCCCCTTCTCAACAGACAGCATGGCAAGGTTAGAGCCAGAACTTTGGCAGAGCACAAGAGACTCCTGACATGTGTGTGGGGGTGTGGGGGTGTGGGTGTGTGCGCGCGCGCCACAGCATTAACCTAATTCTATGCCCTAGCAGTCAGACCTAGCATAGCACAGTTCTCTACCCTGGGCCATTCCAGCCCCTGAATAGCTAAAAAACAGCCTGTGAAACTTACTCTACAGCTAGTAAGAGCTACTTTTAATAATATCCACACATGCTAACTGCTCGACCCACATCTTAGGCTATGTCCACACTAGAAGCACTTTATTGGTATAGAAATACCAGTCTACTATGCCAGCAAAGGTCTCCTAGTGTGGGGGGCAGCTTCAACAGAAAAGCTGCACTTTAAACCACCCCCCATGAACAAAACAAGTTATTCTGGTACTAACGTTAGCAGAGTACAAAATATTCCTTAAGAAAAATTCAGGTTTCTGCTTCATTTGTTCCTGTCAACGATTGACTAAAGCCAGTGAAAAGAGCTGCACGTGCCCTTGCTGTATGCACACATGACCCTATTAACCTGGCTTAAGCTGTGCCTGTTTGTGCCTATGGCTAAAATGCTTTATAGCTCAGTGTAAACCTTCTAATGGGTAGATTATTTCCCCAGGACTCCTCTATGTAAGGGCCACTCCACTCATCCTTCAAAGTGGTAGGATCCACTGCTTCTGATGCAGCTTCC